GAAAAAAGACACAGGTGGCTGGAGTAGTGGGAACAAGAGGGAAGTAAATAGAAATCAGTCAAAGAGGTTTGCTGTCAGTCTCTGCAAACTCTAGTAGGGAACAGGAAACCACTGGAAGATTTTCAAGGGGAAAACACAATCAGATTCATTTCCAAGATCTCATTCTGGCTATTATATGGAAAGCAGCTGTTTCACATGTGTGTTCAAGGTCCCAGCTCAGTTTTTCTACCTGGCAGCATGTTCCCAATTCACAGGCATAAAAAGATTGAACCTCTTCTTTACCAATGCTGACTAGTAACTCACTGCCCCTTCTCCTATGATTATCTGGAAATTATTTCAAAAATTAAGATTTAAAAACATTATTATTGGCTTTTTTTCATTTTATTATTTTATTTTTTATTCCCTCATCACCCATTCAACAGTTACTCATGAGCACCTTTTTTTTTTTTTTAATACTTTAACTTCTAGGGTACATGTACAGAACACGTAGGTTTGTTACATAGGTATACACATGCCATGGTGGTTTGCTATACCCATCAACCCGTCACCTACATTAGGTATTTCTCCGAATGCTATCCCTCCCCCGCCCCCCACCCCCTGATAGGCCCCGGTGTGTGATGTTCCCCTCCCTGTGTCCATGTGTTTTCACTGATCACCTTCCACTTATGAGTGAGAACATGTGGTGTTTAGTTTTCTGTTCTTGTGTTAGTTTGCTGAGAATGATGGTTTCCAGCTTCATCCATGTCCTTGCAAAGGACATGAACTTATCCTTTTATATGGCTGCATAGTATTCCATGGTGTATATGTGCCACATTTTCCTTATCCAGTCCATCATTGATGGGCATTTGGGTTGGTTCCAAGACTTTGCTATTGTGATTTTATTTTATTTTGTTATTGTATTCAGCTGTGCATGGTGGCTCATGCCTATAATTCCCAAAATTGGGGAGGGTAAGGCAGGAGGATTGCTTGAGTCCAGGAGTTCAAGGTCAGCCTGGGCAACACAGTGAGACCCTGTCTCTACAAAAAATAAAAAATTAGTCAGGCATGGTGGTATGTGTCTGTGGTCACAGCTACTTGGGAGGCTGAGGAGGGAGGATCGCTTGAGCTCGGAAGGTTGAGATTGCAGTGAGCTATGATCATGTCACTGCACTCTAGCCTGGGTAGCAGAATGAGACCCTGCCTCAGAACAAATAAAAAGAAAGAAAAAGAAAGGAAGGAAGGAAGGAAGGAAGGAAGGAAGGAAGGAAGGAAGGAAGGAAGGAAGGAAAAAAAAGAAAGAGAAGAAAGCATTCCATTCAGCACTTTAATGAGTCAGAATAACTTTCTAAAAAGTTTTCATTTTTAAAATATGCACCATGTACTTTCAAAAAGCATTTGAAGCCTTTGTAATAAAGCCCACAAGCAACAGAACAACTTAAAAGTTTCCTCTGGGAAGATGTTTACAATATACTGAAATACATGTTACAATGTCAGTTTGGAAGAGAAATATTAACATTAAAGAATCTCAAAAGCCTAATTGGCTCTAAAGGTTGAGTTTAGCTGCCAACATAGACTCATCATGAGTTAAGTCCTCATAATGCATTCATTTTTATCCAGGTTTATACTTCTCTTGCTCCATTCTCTCCCTGGCCCTCCAGAGAGCCACCACTTGCCTCATTTTGCTGCTCAATGGCACCCCCATCAGAGACTGAGCAGAAAGGAAAGACTGGAAAGCCTCAAAATGCTCTTGGTTTGGCAGTTCCAGTTTTGTGTGTACATGTTGTTGTGAGATATGTTGTGTGTATGTGTGTTGGGGGGCAGAGGGGAACTCCTGGGGTAAAGTGATGTTTAAATTTTATTTAATCATTCCTTTATACTTCTACAGTGTAGAATCTACACACCTTCTCATTCTTTCCCTCTCTTTCTCTCTCTCTGTCTCTCCTGGTAGTCAGCAAAGCACTCAAACCCACAATATGTAATAGGAAAAT